CGCGAGTCCAGGGCTGCCCGGGGTACGGCCGACAGCGCCCCGTCGCCCCGCTTCCCTCCCCAGGTTGGGGTAACCCGCGGCAGTGGCTTATGAGAGCCGGGTGAGGAGCTTAGCCCCGGCCGAAAATAAGAGTTTGTTAGTTTGCTCCCTTCCCCCTCCTCACACGCTAATTAAACATGGTAATAATTTATCATGTGCTCTGCTGATGTGATTTAGTGCAACTTGTCTTGTCAAGCCTGCTCCAGTGTTTAGCATGTAAGTTAGCTTGTGCTTGCGAACAGCATATTAAAAAGCCATTTTCTTAAAATCCCAGACTCTGGGTGGTTAGGAAGCCCACATTCTTTAACTTTCATGGCTAATGGTGCAGTTGACTTTTGAGTACCTCCTCTCAGGTGTGCCAGCATCACAGTTTTTCCTTACCTATCTGCTCAGACAGTGACAAAGTTTTGAGTAGTAAACAGATCTGTGCAAGTGCTGATGGACTTAGGGTTGGGGTTTTTTTTGAGAATTGAATATTCTAATATAATTTGCTGTATTTCCTCCTCTTATGCAAATCTCAAATTCATGTGCCTGTGGTCAAAACATCATTGTTGATTTGGGTTTAATCAAAGGGTTCATCTCTATGGACAACATTAGTGTCAGGGTGATCACTTTGTTCTAAGTTGTACTATTAATGTGTATGCCCTGCCTTGGTGTGAAAGAGGTCTTATATGTGTATGGTTGAACTCCATAACTACGGTAGACCTCACATACTTCACTTAATAGTGGTGGTGCGAAGGCTGTGTTGCAGAGGAAAAACTGTAACATAGGGGAATACCATCAATACATGGTGCTTTATGAACCCCGTCCTGCTTAAAGGTCAAAATGCTGAGGTCTCCAAAACTGTGCTTCAGACTTCCTTCCAATACAAGGATGAAGAGCAGATGTAGGATTAGAAGTTTGAATGTGTATGTGTCTACACATATACATACACCTGTGTATGTATAAAATTGACAAACTGTTCGCATTGGTAAGTGCACAGCGTTGCATCCCCTTTAGACTAGCAGTATTGAACAGAGAGAAACCGTGGTGATGGGTACAAGTCTGCTGCTTCTGTTGCAGGTTAGACTGGACAGGCTCGAGGGCCATGGCAGCCGCTGAGCAGTCAGTGTGCAGGTGCTGGGTGGCGGAAAGGAACCTTGGGAGCAACCATCGAACCTGACATGTCTGAGTCAATTTGCACGTGTTGATTTATGTCCGTCTGAGTCAACTCACAAGTGGTTTCTGGCAGAAGTGTGGGCAAGTAAATGAGGCCAGTGGTGTATGCTGTCAGTGAGGAGTATGGTGATAGTGATTTTTTGAGGGATCCCAGATAATGATGTTATCAAGCTGTCTGTCAGAGTAACTATGAAATCAGATGGTCTGCACTGAATAGTCAGTCAGATGATACCTGTATTTCCTGTTGGCCTTTCAATATGCAAAACTGTGGATGTTTCACATTTGAGATAAACAGAGAACTTTCCTCCTTGTTGTTTTGTGCACCTGCCTCCAGCTGTGTGACATGTGCTGCAGAATGCTGTGGGAGGTATGTGTGGGAAAGAGAGAGGGGACATGGCATTTTAATTGCCATACTTACAAATAAATAAGTCTGTGGTTTTCAAATTATCTGCCTACTATCAGTGGTCAACAAGACTATAGTGAATCATCCACAGGCAGTATGTGGAGCCTTTATTCTAAGGTACAAATATTCATAGACATACATGCCACTTAGAGAAAATGTTGGGACTTGGTAGTGCTCTGCAACCTAAAAAGCATGGAAATTGCTGTTCTTCATAAAGAACTAGAAAAACAAAAGGGAAGAAATTGAG